TCCGTGTTTGCGGATGACACCAAAATAGGGAGGGTAATAGACACGGACTTAGACACTATAACATTACAGGAGGACCTGGATAAAATAGGGGAGTGGGCATTAATGTGGCAGATGAGGTTTAATGTCGATAAATGCAAAGTAATGCACTTTGGAATTAAAAATAAACAAATGGGTTATACAATTATGGGTATGCCGCTGGGGAAGTCAGAAATGGAGAAGGATTTGGGGGTCATTGTAGACCACAAACTGAAAGGTAGCTTGCAGTGCCAGGCTGCTGTAAACAAAGCTAGCAGGGTCTTGTCCTGTATTAAAAAGGGGATGTATTGCAGGGACAAGTCTATAATTTTGCCACTTTATAGATCATTGGTTCGACCTCATCTGGAGTACGCGGTCCAGTTCTGGTCACCAGTACTAAGAAAAGATGTCCTTGAGTTGGAAAAAGTCCAGCGAAGGGCAACCAAACTAATTAGGGGTATGGAGGACCAGAGCTACGAGACGAGGCTACTAAATTTAAACATGTTCACATTAGAGGTGAGGAGATTAAGGGGGGATATGATTTCCATGTACAAAATGTTTAATGGTGGTAGCAACATTAGCGATAAACTGTTTAAAATTAACTCCGTTACAAAAACTAGAGGCCATCACCTAAAATTGGTGGAAAAAAAATTCCAGCACAAGGGGCGAAGGGGGTTCTTCACAGTAAGATCAGTTAGGGTCTGGAACTCACTGCCACAGGCGGTGATTTCAGCAAATAATGTGGAATTGTTCAAGAAATTTTTGGACGATTTCTTAAGGGACCGCAATATACAGGGGTACGGGTAATATACAGGGGTACGGGTAATATACAGGGGTGCGGGTAATATACAGGGGTACAGGTAATATACAGGGGTACAGGTACTCCTAGAATGAGATCCTAATAGGTTGGACTTGATGGACTAATGTCATAATTCAACCTCAAATACTATGTAACTATGTAACACCCAATTCTGCCAGGAACTTGCTTGGGAATTTCCCTAGAAACAGACTAGGACTTCCATTGAAGGTTTAACAAAATGTACTCAGCAGAGTTCTTGTTTAAAGAGGAACTCCAGGAAGGTACACAGTTAACCCTTGCAGTGTGTCTCTAGAGAAGGCTCAAATGAAAACATATAAGCAGAATCTTCAGTCCCGCCTGGCTGTAGACCAGTCACCGGAGCCCCTTCTCCCCCGGGCAGTCCAGCCCCTAGACCAAAACGAGCACTTAAACCTTTCAGTGGGAACCCCGTAACAATTTGCTTACCCGGAGTTGTTCTTTAACATCAATTCATACTTAATATATGTGACACCTGCCAGACATATAACACGCCCGGCAGCTGATGACGGCGTGTAGATCAGGTAAGACAGCCCCGCCCCCTCTCACCAATGATTGTTGGATCGTTGGGTGGAATCTATATTAGACTTTGTGTTGTTTTCTGATATTAATGGTTCCATCGTATGTGTTTACATTGTGGCTCTCAGTCATCTTAATGGACTCGGCCTACATTCCGCTACGAGCAGAGCAGATTTCTGGCATTTCACGAGCTCCTGCAAGTGTTTTTGTCACATGTGTAAAACCCTGGTGTCCCGGTCTATGGGGCCCAAAAAAGCGCGGCACAGCTCCAAAAAAAAAAGTTAATGTACCCTTTTGAGCGTTGAGCACCTGAGTGTAGAGATGTGAAGAGTCAAAATAAGAAGAAATTGTGATGTCGCGTGTTGGGAAATGTGCAAAAAAACATGTGACAGAGCACTCAGGTGTGAACGGGGCTGAATACACATTTAGTTAATAAGGCCCGGAAGCGCCTTTTTTTTTTTCTCCTGAGGGTCTCGCGGTGTAACGGATTCCCTCAGAACCTGGTGGTGATATCTTATTGCAGTGCAGTATTGTATGTTATTGTTGATTGCAGTTAGGAAAGACTTGCAGTGTTAAACCGGATTATCGGATCCAAATTCCCTAAAGGGGCCTTAATGATTCTGCTGGATTGCATGCACCCTGGTCTCCATCCCTATCCTCCTTTCAGGTAGGTTCAGAAGGTTTCATACTGGGACCAAAAGGTCAAGGGCCCATACACATTGGGGCGGGCTGTTGTTTCCAATGCAAGACAAGGCACTCTGCCTTGTCACAGATGGGCTCGGTTCACACAACCACAATGCACAGGCATTGCAATGGTGTGCAGTAAAAAAACGTACAGCATGTAGTACAACCGCCTTGCACCCTGTGACATTTCAATAAACTTCTAAAAAAAAAGTACACCGTGTGATGTGCCGAGATTAGCACTCTTGTCAGGCACCACACACTGGCCGCTGTGCATTTGCGCAGCAGCTGGTGTGAATTGGCCCTAAGGCCTCATTCACACATGTGGCGGCCTCCACCACCCTCTGAGAAGTGACCCATGATAGAACGATTTGCAGAGGGGGGGGTGAAGCAGCGACGCTGCCGCCACCTGAATGTTTGATTTTTCTTTTTAATCCCAATGGGAGTTTTATTGCAACACTGAGCTGCAACTGCATGCCCATGCAATGACGACGGGGCCCCATTCATTGCAATGATCACGTTAGATCTGCCAAGCAAGACATACTGTACTATACACTATACAATTGGTTCTCAACTGGTGGGTCGTGATCCAAGTGACCGAGTGTCAGCTTGAGGTGGGGTGAGAATATGGCCATGAGGGAGCTCTAGCCTAACGTGCATTGCTTACAGCTCCCTCACGTGTAGAGGTGCCTGGACCGCAGTGACGTCACAGTCTATCTCCCGACACCGCTACAGGACACGCAAGGGAGCTGTACAAGCAATAAACATATGGATGGTCACCACACAGCAGCCCACACTGGACCCCAGGCTGAGGATCCAGTTCCCGTACAATAGGGAGACTGGGTGGAGCTTAAAAAAAGAACTATAATTCCATTGTTTTTGGAGCGTGTCTGTGTGTGCATAAGAATGTCTGTGAGTGTGTGAGATTGTGGTTGTGTGTGTGAGATTGTGTCTGTGAGTGTGTGATTGTGGTTGTGTGTGTGTGAGATTGTGTCTGTGAATGTGTGAGATTGTGGTTGTGTGTGTGAGATTGTGTCTGTGAGTGTGTGATTGTGGTTGTGTGTGTGTGTGTGAGATTGTGTCTGTGAGTGTGTGAGATTGTGTCTGTGAGTGAGTGAGATTGTGTCTGTGGTTGTGTGTGTCTGTCAGTGTTTTTGAGGGCCCGTTCACACTAGTACAGTGCGTTAATCGCACAGTCCCTTGCAATTACCGCACCTTACCACGCAATCGCACCTATCGCGCATTCTGGTGTGGGAGATGTGTTGCATTGTCATTCATTTGAATGGCACCCCAAACGCACCTCCCACCCACAGTTTGATCGCCTGCACCGGAACACATGGTACTGCAATGACGTGCATTCCTGTGCAGTGAGACTCGGGTCGCGCCTTAATGACCAAGGACAAATGTGGGTCCTGAGGTTACACAGGTTGAGAACCACTGTCCTATACTATACAAAGCAATGATTGGCTGACACATAGACTTCAATGGGGGCACCTGAAATACGTGCGCATACATGTTTTTTTACTCCGCGTTTGGCCCCATTCACATTTGGTGATGCGTGAACGCAAGTTCGCATGCATTTTTGCCACCATTGCCACACATTGCCACACAACCAACCCATTCATTTCAATGGGCTGCCACATGTGCGACAAACATGGCAGAGAAGCTCATGCAGCATTTTCAGCTGTGAGCTTCCCGCATTTTGACCACGCGTTTGTGTGCATTTGATGCACATAACAAAAAATGGCACCTTAAGTGCGTCGCACGTTTTTGACGCGTTGTGTGAATTCACACCAATGCGGGCACATGACACGGTTGTGTGAACGCACGCCAAAGCTTGAAAGGGGACTGACAACTGCCTTCCCAAGCTTGAAAAACCTGCAAAACTGCGCAAAACAAAGCTTCAAAAGCACCTGAAAACACTCACGCTCAATGCACCATCACACATGCGTTATGGTAAAGCAGCCCATAAATTTGAATGAGCTGTCTACCTCATCTAAATCATGACGCACTACAACGCATGGTAATAAGCTACTATGCATTGTGGTTGATGCAAGTGGTGTGCTGGGGTGGCATTAGGAAATAATGGCAACGCACCAAACACACTCCCAAATGCTGAAGGACAAATGCATTCCTGCATTGCATAGGCATGAAGGGGGTCTTAGTATTAATTTGGTTAGGATTGTGTTTTATTTTATTTCATTTTTCTTGCATGTTTTTTTTCATTATGATTATTACTTTGTTATTATTGTACCTTGTATATACTGTACATTTTTATTTCATTTTTATATTCTATATTTTTTTTATGATCTATTTTTTTATTATTGTACCTTGTATATACATTTTATTTTCACTTATATTTTTTTATTTATGATTTTTTTCTTATTATTGTACCTTGTATATACATTTGTATTTATTTTGATTATGATTATTACTTTTTAATTATTGTACCTTGTATATACATATTTATTTCATTTTTATTATACATTTTTTTTATT